TATCCCTTACTTTTTGAAACTATCCCAAACTTCCGATTATTTTATTTCTCATTTTCATCTAAAATGAAATTAAAGTTATTAAATAAATATTTTTGAAGTTTATTTTATTATTTTAAACTGTTTAATATTAATATAATTTAAGGAAATCTAATCTGCCCATTTTTAGGAATTAAAAAAAAAAAAAAACGTAGCTTCTTAACCTAATTCCGAAGCTTGATAAAGACATAATTTATGTCGAAACGTTGAGAAAGAAAGTATGGATTACTTTAACCCTTTAAAGGCTATTTTTTCCTAATAACGTTATGTTAAAATATTTTTAGGATTAAGATTGATTTATAAAAAGAAATTCATTTAGCTTATTACCTAAAATTAATTTGGTTTTTGAAGGCCATTTTTTTGGTGGGAAGTATGTTTCCCGCAACCAACTGGGAACTATTCAAAGGTAGGACATCTTAGGTTTTGCATTTCTTTTTATATCAAATTTCATAATATTCATAATATATAATTTGCAAATACTAAAATGTGCAAATGAAATTATAAAGAAGATATAGTTTATATTTAAAAATTTAAGAACTTATATATATTACTTTCCATGAAATTTCAGAAAACACGGAGCAACACACAGTGAGATACTGCAAGTTGTACAAACGTATCTTGTTCTTTTCCCATGGGCCCAAACGGCAACGTATATATATATATATATATTTAACGCTGGCATATGGTCAACACCTTTAGTCAATCGTACGTCATCTGAAATAGTTTTCTTGCTGCTCAGGAAACTTACAGGTTGCCCTTTGCGTTTACGACTTTAAAATCCAGAAATCAGTTGTCGTGCTAGGCGAAGTCGAAAAGATAATTTTTCTTGAGGTCCCGAATCCCCTTCTACTTAATTCCTACTACTTTAGTACTACTACTACTACTACTATATCCTACTACTTTATTCTTTCCAGAGAATAAAGGCATATAAATTTGTTTGCTTGACAATATGTTCTAAAACTTCTTCACTGAATATTTGGGGTCATTTTTTTTTCTCTACTGGTTCATGTTAGACTAGGATTGATAATTCCTTTCTATACAAATAAAATGGGAATCAAAACTCCTGGTATCATCATACCAGCTCTCCAAGATCACTTGGGAGAGCAAAAAATAATTCAACAGCCTCCTCTGCTATATATTTCTTCTGTTTTTTATACATTTCCATGGAAAGTGCAAAAAATAATATGACTACAACAAATTAGAGATTTCCATTGGAGGTTAAAGGGACGTTGGACTTTAAAAATTAGTTGTTCTACGTTTTTGTGTTTTCAACAAGAAATTTGATACATATACATATTATAATAGCAGTTCATAAAATATATGATCAAAATTTTAATTTATTTTAAATTTAAAAAAATTAAAACAAATAATTAATTATTTTAATTAAAGATTTAAAATGTTCCTTGCGAGCTAATTTTCAATGTTTTTTCCTAATTTTTCTTTCAGTTATAAAAACTTGGCAAATATTTTTGTGTATCCGTTATTGAATATGATGGATCATAAATTTTTAAAATGCATTTTTGTGAACTTGTACCCAGTTTTGGGAAAAAAGTCGCCTTTTTTAAACATTATCACAAGATTAAACTTCTAAATAACTTCATATCCAAAAATGAATACACAGATTTACTGTAACATATAAAAAGATAGTATTTTCCAAATATCATTCATTTTTAACTAAAAATGAGACGCATGGAGCATTTTTTTAAGGCATACGACCTGCGAAAAAATTTGTTTTGAGGAAACCGAATTTAAAGTTTTTGTTCAAACGTACCTTTAATACATGGTCGTGAGAAACAGCAAATTAACTTTAAATATGAATATATAAAGACTGGATAACACTTTCGTATCATTTAACTATTTTTAATCCCATAATATTAAATTTGGAAAAAATAAACATATTGCAAATTGGTATGTGATTCGAAGTTAGAGGTAGAAACAATTTATGCATTATATGAAATGAAACTTTTAAAATTCACCCGCATCATACGTTTTATCTTCATTTGTTATATTTACATTATTTTTTTAATGCTTTACAACATTTTTTACTATTTTTGTTTATTTCCAAGCATGTAAACCTCTCCTTTTGCTTTGGTTCAAGCGACGTTGATCACGCTTTTTTGCAACGAGTAGTGAAAACGAGTTGGCTCCTCCTGTTCTACGCCTATAGAATTTATATAACAAAAATTAATTCATCAATAGTTGTCAATATTAACATTTCTAGCCTCTTTTTAAGAAATAAACACTTCTTTTTGTCAAAGATATAAATATTTCAGCTGTAAATAACTGTTGAAATAATTTTTTTTAACATTTTCTCCAAAATTTAAAGGGTAAAGTTTACGCTGTTACAATTTAAAGGGCAAAGTTACACATTTTAAATGCTTGTAACTTCTTTAAAAATTAGAATATTTGAACTCGGTTTTTTGCATATGATGTAGTTACATATGTGGAATATTACGAGAGTAAAAAAACCAAATTCAATATTTTGGTTGATTTTTAGCTATTTTAAAGTCCACCGTCCCCTTAAGCGTCTCCTTAACTACTAAAAATTGGCAACTATAATTCAAAACTGTACCTACTATTAAGAATTAGCCATAGACGTATAACTTCTGTGCTTATCAATAAAGCACAAGACAAAATGTCTCTCCAGTATAGGCGTCTCTTCTAGACCCCACGCTAACCTTCATTGTTACTCCCATTTATGTGAACAAAGCCCGTCATTGGTATTTGTTTTTTTTTTGGGGGGGGAGGGTATTTTCTGAAGTTATTAACAGATGGCAGAACAGATCGTAGGTGGGAAAATATCTTCCCGTCGACATTTAAAAATTAATGAAGTTGGTGCGAAGTATACTTCTAACGGCCTTGGGCTCTGTGTTTTATTTAAAATCCCTTTAGACGAAAGCCAGAACTTTTTATTTTACATTAATTTTTGAGAGACAAAAATATGTAATAAAATTAAAGTTTTAAAATGTAAAATAGAAAATAAAAACATAGAAATATACTTGCGTTATTTTTATTAAATATAACAGCCATATCTTTTTTTTCCAGTTTTCACTTTACAATATTAAGCGAACCTGTCATGATTCGTAACGCACTGCACATATGAACTAACATTAAATCGGTTAAGCACGTCTTTTCCATGTGCGAAGACGCGGCTGCACATTACACAAGCCCTGCCCAACGCTGAAAAATGTGTTTGCTACCAGTTGCATTAATGTTGCATTAATGAATAGCAAGTCAAATAAGTTTAAAATTAATTTTTAAATAATAATATCAATTCTTTAAAGAAAAGCGGGTTTTTGAATGTGTCAAATTTACTTTAAAAACCGAGTTTGAAAACCCGTCAAACCCTACAATAGTTTAGTTTTCAGTAATCAAAAATAAGAAGTTAAGAGGAAAGGTGGACTTCAAAAATTAGTTTTTTAAGTTTTTGTGTTTTCAACAATCAATTTTATACATATTATAAAATCAGTTTCAGCGTATAAAATATGTGTCCAAAATTTCAATTTTAATTAAATGTTTTGAAACAAATACTAAATTATTTGAATTAAAGATTTCAAATGCTTTTTGAACTCTGATTTTCAACATTTTTTCCTAATTTTCGAATTAAGTTACTTGTAAAGACTTAATAAAATTTCTGTGTATCCGTCATTGAATATGATGGATCAGAAATGTTTAAAAATGATTTTTGTGAACTTTTCTGAACATCCAGTTTTTGGAAAAATGTCACCTTTCATTAAACGTTATCACAAGTTTAAACTTCTTAATAACCTCACATCCAAAAATGCATGCACACATCTACTGTAACATATAACAAGATAGTTTCTTTTATATATCATTCATTTTTAACTAAAAATGAGAGGAAAGAGCATTTTCTAAACATACGAACTGCAAAAAAATTGCTTTGATAAAAACGAATTTAAAGTTTTTCTTCAAACTTACCTTTAATATATTTTCAGGAGAAACAGCAAATTAACTTTAAATATGAATTTGTAAACATTATATAACATTTTCGCACTATTTAACTATTTTTAATCTCATAATATTAAACAAGACAAAAATAAACATATCGCCAATTGCTATGTGATTCCAAGTTATTGAGCAACAATTTATGCATTATATCCAATTAAACTTTAAAATTAACCCGTACCATATGTTTTACCTTCATTTGTTACAGTTACGTTACCGTTTAATTGCTTTACAATATTTTTTACTATTTCTGTTTTCTTCCAATCAGGTAAACTTCTCTTTTTGCTTTGGTTCAAGCGACGCTGATCACGCTTTTTTGCTATGAGTAGAGAAAACTAGTTTATTTCCTCCTGTTCTACGCGTATAGCATTTATATTATAAGGTATTTCTCCCGCCTTCCTAGCGTGCCTTCGTGGTGTAGTGGTTCTGCACGCTGGGCCGGTAATCCAGAGGTCCGTGGTTCGATTCCCGGCGAAGGCGTTGCTAATTTTCATCTTGCCTGTTTCCAATTAACCTAATGTCTCTACAGCATAACTAATGTTAATTTCGCTAATAATTTACAATACTGACATTTCTAGCCTTTTTTTAGAAAAAAAAACACTTCCTTTGGGCAAATATATAAATTATAGCATCAGTAAATAACTATTGAAATAATTTTTTTTTACATTTTCTCCAAAATTTAAAGGGCAGAGTTTACCTTGTTTATACATTTTAAATGCTTGTAACTTCTTTAAAAATTAGAATTTTGCACTCGGTTTTGTTATATACGATGTAATTACGTATATAGAATGTTACGAGAGCAAAAAGGAAATTCAATATTTTGGTTGATTTTTAGTTTTTTTAAAGTCCACGGTCCCCTTAAAAAAGGATGTTCATGCCGAGTAATCTAAAAATGTACTTTACATAGTCAATTGATTATATATTTAAAAAATGTTTAAATAATTAAAATGATCTACTGCAGAGCAAATTATATGTTTAATGAATAAGAAATAACAAAACAAATACAATTAAAAATAAGATACTGAATATGAGATATTCAAAATTACAGTTATCAAAAAAATAAATTCCTTACACGTGTTTATAGAAATATAATTGTCAAGAATTAGTCTACTTTCAGATTGTGAACAATAAGTCTTTTTTTAATATTTGAGCAACCTTCCCACTTCAGTATTCGGCAACAAAACCATATTTGATGCTTCGGACTTCTCAATCTGCTCCGTCAGTGGCACCGTGTTAATAGCGAAGTCTCTTTTTTGCCCATAGTCTTCATATGATGTAGTCCATTCTGATTTATAGAGAGGATCACTATATTCTATCATTGAAGGTATTTCTGGGAAGCTGCATTTTCTGACTGATTTCACTTCTGGCTTTAAGCCATAGTCTAAATTATACGATGTCTTCCAGGATTTAGATGAATAAGGGACAGTGAGAGGCTGAACAGGTCGCGAGAAATCCACATCCTTCTCTAGTAAATGAGGCACGGTGATACAATCCGGCGCTTTATAATGCTTGCCATATGTTGAAATGAGATTGTTTTTGTTTTGGCATATCATTCTTACTTCAGGGGCTAAAATATGTGAAACATTCAATTTTCTTAAATAATTTATTACTTTATATTTAAAACTTTCTAAAATTCTAAGAAATGAAATAAACCTAATAAAAGAAATTGTTGATTATATTTAATTCCCATACTATGAAGAACTGCCAACATTTTAGACTGAAATACTGTTAACAATATGTAAGTGGTTCTGAAATGTTTGAGACAGGGACTGACAAATTTTGCTGAAAGATATGAATTCTTTTATGTCCTAGAGTAATAAGTTGTGGCAACAGTTGCAATGTGTCTATCGTAAAATAAGTTTAGAAAGAAGGGAAAATTGAACTGATGCGACAGAACTATCATGCTATGATACTTTGTGATTTTAAAGTAGAGTTATATCAAGAGGGATGACGTGAAAGTAAGTTAGGATATAAAAGGAAGCTTCCTCTCGTGCGACTGTATTCAGATGTTTTACAGAATTTATAAGAGGTCGAAGTTCTCTCCTGCATTAAGCATATACAGGAGGGGCTTTGTCAGCTTTGTAGTCACAGAAAATATGTAGGGAAGATGTTAATGAAAATCGTTGTTCCTACCAAACGGTATAAAGGAAATGTAATATTAGATCCGTAGCTACACACAAAATTATTCACAAAGAATCGCATGTGAAAAAAATTAGTTTAACGTTAGGCTTCCCATAAATTAACAGAACACGAAAACGCTGAACTTATCAGAAACAGGAATGAAATTCTAAACGTACTTCATAATGGTAGATACCACATTATTTCTAGAGGTCGAAATGGTGGCGCATCGTACTTACCTTTCGTTGAAGTGTTAACGAGTTAAGATAGTAAAGTATGGGTCTTTGAAAATGAAATCAACTCAACAACGAGGAAAAACAACGAGGAATGAAAAAGGTAATATATAACGCTTTATCCATAAAAACACTGTAAGGTATATTTTAATTTTATAACAGTTATTTTAATTTAATTCTGTTTTTCTATCGTTGCTTGTTTCAGCATACAACTCCCTACCAGAATGAGTTTATATAATCACGTTAAATGCAAATGAGAAAGAGAGTAGTATTTAAGTCTTCAACTGACTTCACCAGAGAGAATTAGAATTCCTGAGTGGCACGCATTTGCTTTTGGGCTACGTCTCTCTAAGCTGTTATTACGCTCGGCTGTATTACGTGCCTTTTGATAGTTCGTTGGCTAATTCAATATTACTGGCCAACCGGCTTAGAAATGTTTTAGCTTTGGCTAAATCTCTTTAGTTAGTCATTAGTTTGTTCTTATTTCTTACATATTTGAATTTAATCCCAAGTCGAAGCTTTGCTGCACCCGCTCAGAAACGGGTCGATTGTTAATCTTATTTTGAGTGAAATAAAGGGTAGTTAACCTTTCTCGAGTTTACGTTTCTATTCTTGGACTTAAGCGATTAATCGCTTGGCAGTTTATTAGGTTCCTTGATATTACGTTTAACAAGAAAAAAGCGAGGAACTCTATAACACAGTGTATTAAAGCCATTTTGTTAGAGGGACAGAAGACAGTTACAACTAACGGATTCACCACTAAATATCTTCCAAAAATTCTTTAATAAGTGCATATTAGGGAACTCATGCTTCACCATTACAATTCATATTTTCATTCACTAAGATTGACAGTCGGATTTCTTGAACAAAAATCTCGAAATGATGTCACATTAACCCTATTCTTTTTATCTTGTTACCTTATAAGATATTTCTCCCACTTTTCTAGCATACCATCGTGGTGTAGTGGTCAGCACACTGATGCGGTATTCAGAGGTCCGTGGTTCGATTCCCGGCGAAGAAGTTGCTAATTTTTCATCTCTTCTGCTTCCAAAAATCCTAATAGCTCTACAGTGGCATCCGAACTAAAAGGGTGTTGGATGAGGATTCTCCACACCCAGGATTTGGCGATTGGGTCCCCTAAAAACCCCAGTCACTCTTTAAAAAGGGTGTATATAAGGTATTTCTCCCACTTTCCTAGAGTGCCTTCGTGGTGTAGTGGTCAGCACACTGAGCTGGTATTTCAGAGGTCCGTGGTTCGAGGCGGAAGAGGAGGTTGCTAATTTTTCATCTTGCCTGCTTCCAAAAAATTACCTAATGTCTCTACAGTCTGGGAATTTTTATTATTTTTTATTCTAATACAAAATACACGCGGCCGATGTTTTTATTCCGAAGATAAGATTGACAAATCTATAACAGCATATTTTTCATCAATTACAAGAAATGGATGACTTGAAGCATTTAATCTTTAGAAAATGTTCCTCCATATATGCATTGACGTTTGAGAGGACTATTTTGAACACTCTTAAGATTTATAACGTTTAACTTGTACGTTTAGGTGTACGTAAAATCTTTGGAGTAACTCTCATCGTATTTAAAAACTAAAGAGAAATAGATCAAAGTAAATATAGTTCAGGAATGAAAATTTCCTTTATTCTCTTAATACGAAACAAATCTTAAATTTACTTTGGCATAAATTATTTTCTACAGCTTTGTCTTTTGTTTAACTATTTTAAGATAAATATTTAAAATTTAGTTAAGACATTTGTTTTTTAGATTTGTTGCTTTGAATACCAAGGTATCAGTTATACTAAACTCGTTTTCAAGTAATTTATGTTTTAATGTTTTCAGTGAGGATTATGATTCTTTACTTGGTCATTTTTCCGTAATTATCATTTTTATAGTTTTAATTTTTACCACCCATAATCATTTTTTGTTACTTCGCCGAAATCTGCCTACTAAAGTATATTTCAGGATTAATAATAAGATTGGATTAAATTGTTATTGGAATGCTACAACTTCCAATTTAATACTGGTTACTAATTACCGCAATATATTAACTGTCAAGGTTATTTTCGGTTTATGTATTTGTAAATTTCATCTACTAATAAAATATGTCATTCCTGTTACTGAATTTAAACCTTATTTTAAAATTAGAGCAATTAAATAATCATTCAAAATTTTATGCAACTAATTTAGTTTCCACACTTTTTGGATTTAGATTCCATCATTAGACATCATATCACTGATTGATTATTTATATTTTAATAAATTAGATTATTCAAAAAAATCCATTTATACGTATTTTTGAATTTTGGTCTACTGTAATTACTTGCTTTGCAATTTGAAATAGAATTTTATACTTGGAAAATGAAATAATTTGTTATTATCCTTATCACATTGCGGCTGGAAGAGTGGAGCATTATGTTGTTGTTAAGGAGCTGTATAAACTAACTTTGAAGATGAGATTTTAGCTCAGTTTTATCGGAATTAAGATTGAGATGTGCCTCTTATTTATAGGTTTCGTACCTATTCTGTGTCTCATCTTTCCAACCGTCAACCGTCAATCGAAAGTATCATCGGATTGAAGAATTTTCCGTACCTCTATTTCGTCTATGCTCAAATATAACTCGAAATGCGAATTCCATTTTGCTAAGAATAAGGTTTCCTCAACTGAATGTCACAAAGACCAAGTCACCAATAAATTAAATAAAAGCTCTTTATTAATTTTTCTTTTATTTACCTCCACCGAGGAACCTATATGCATAGGTAAGGGAGGTAATGTTTTTAGTTCGAAAATTTGACAGTGAGATTCCAAAGAATAAGCAAGAAATAGTGTCCCCATAACAGGTTTTCAGTATTTTTACAGTGATGTCTGCCTATCTGTGCGTGATGTGTGCGATAAATTTTATATCAACTTCCAAAAAATTTCTGCTTTCCCAATTTAAGCTTTCTGCTTTCCTATAAAGAGATAGTTAGATTCTCGGTAAAACAGAGCAATCTGAACCTGTATTTGAAGCTCATAACGGTTTTTAATGGGCAACCCAAAGTGGTACTTTTTTTCTAGCTCATTGCACAGTTCTGCAGCTATTCATATAAAATATCGTTACATATATAAATCATAATAAATTACTGCAGCTGACCGAGTATTGTTTGCTAATACCTAAATATTGCAGTTCCAATTTTTTTATACTACAGATATAACGTGGAAGAAAACTAAATTATAGTATTGCGGCTGGAAGAGTGGAGCATTATGTTGTTGTTAAGGAGCTGTATAAACTAACTTTGAAGATGAGATTTTAGCTCAGTTTTATCGGAATTAAGATTGAGATGTGCCTCTTATTTATAGGTTTCGTACCTATTCTGCGTCTCATCTTTCCAACCGTCAACCGTTAATCGAAAGTATCATCGGATTGAAGAATTTTCCGTACCTCTATTTCGTCTATGCTCAAATATAACTCGAAATGCGAAATTTAAAATAAATGCTTTGAAACAAAACATAGTATTTGTTTCAAAGCATTTATTTTAAATATATTATAAACTTTTAATTTTTCTTTAATTAAAAACCAATTGAATCATATGTTATTCAACTGAACAATAAAATACAATCTTTAATGAAAAAAAAAAACAAATACAAAGGGGAAAATTTGTATATTTTGGCAAAAATTCAGAAAAAGCAGTTTTTACATATAGCCAATTATATCTAATAAAATGTAATTTAAAATTCCTTATTATAGGAATTTATTGGAATAACAAATCGGATTTTTTTTACAAGCGATCCATCAGAAGTGGTACTTTATTTAAAGGTTGTTGTTATTTAGAACATGAAAACGATGGAGAATCATGCCCTGGCTACATTAAACTTTTTGCAATTATTTTTAATGCTCATTATATCATTGTGTTGCGTCTGGATAAATTTCGAGTATTATACAAATTCGCAGTTTAATACCCCTTTTAAATCGATAAATTTATTCAACTCACATAAAACTATAAAATATTTTAAGAACGTACATTAATTATGATGAAAAAATGCATTTTTAGTCTACCGACAGAAAAAGATTTCATGAAGGATAGTACACTTATCCATGCAAACGTTTGCAATTAACTGCTGCAGCAGACAGCAAATTTAAGAATCACTAGGGCACAGAAGACTTGATTATGCTAAAATCCTACCATGTTTCATGACACGCCTTAATTAATTCATACGACCTTCATGCCAGCATCTCTGTCAAAGATTTATCGTTTGAAATTGAAATTAACATAATATTACCATGCGTAACGCAGCTTATTAATTCTTCTACCGCTTTTGTTTTAGATGGTGTAATCTCTCCTTTTCCTCTTTGGAATTTGAAATCTGTAAGAAACAAAAATAAATGTAAAGATGGAAAAATAGTTTTGGAAAAAAAATCTGTAAAAAAAATAATTTTATAGGGGAAAAAATTGTTAAATAATTTTGCCCAAAATAACTTTAACGGTAATGGATAATGTTCCATTATAATACAAAATGTGCTAGCATAGATATTAATTCATTATGAAAAAACATATTCACCTAAATATCGCTTCATTTCAAAGAAATAAAAATATTGATAATAAAATAATTACTTCATTATGGAGAAAAAACATTTTTTGTGCGATTAAGTAAATTTATCCAAACATTTAAAATTTTTGTTACTATTTTTCTTATGAGAATTTTCAGTTTATTTTTGGCTGGTTATATTTATCCGTTCAGGTACTTTTATATCGCTTTCATGTGGAAGCATGTTTGGATTCTTTTCACTTTTATTCATTGCTTATTAAAGGGCCCATTAATATCGAAACACGATTTCGCATTGATTTTTTTATATGACGTCAGATTTGATCCGTGTGTTACTAATTAACAAACTAAGCGACTTAAAAGTAAGAGACAGCTTTTAAGAGTTATATTTTTTTAAAATTTGAATCGGGATGATTTTAAGAAAACTGTATTCAATTCATGATATAGCTAATTTATAATAATGAATATTTTAATATAATTAATTACATTACATATTTTTCACTTTTCATATATACAAATTCCTTATAAAATTCCCATGCTATCTTAAATGAACAGTCATCTAGTATCCTATAAAATGTATCGCTATTCCGCCTGTGACATCTCTATTGATAATATCTACTGATAAACTATATATATAACTTTAAAAGAGTCTTTTTGTACTACCTATCAAAACCCCTTCAAACCTTTTCATATTATTTACATTTTAATTCTTTTCTGGTACATAACTGTATTGCTTAAAACTTTATGAATTCTTTTCAAACGATATGTACAATATTCCTGACCTTTATTTCCAGATTTTGTTTTTCTTTTCTATCACAAAAGTATACAGGCGTGGTTCTTTAGTTAGTTCTAAGCACTGACCCCCAGCCCACCTAGCAGGCAAAACCTGCCATATGGCTATGAGCGGACAGGCCAAGCCACAAAGGGGATAACAAAAAAAAGTAAAGTAGATACATACATTCCAAACACTCGGTGAAATAGTATATAAATGTGTCGTTTCCATTTCTGTGTTTTTTCCTAAGATTAAAATATTTATAAGTTTGACTTTCAATTAGATATTATTTTTCAGATCTTCTTTATATTATCAAAATTCATCTTAAATTTATAAGTTACCTCAATTATTTCTGTTTTCAGCATGATTTTCTGCTTTGTTATATCTCGATACAAATGTTCTTCTTATTCTCATTCACAGTTTGCATAACATCTCTTGCAAATTTTCTAAACAATGTATAGTTACTAAATAAATCCTCAAGCTTCGCAAATTTATATTTTCCTCTCAAACTTCCAGCCAGGCAACAGTCCTCGACGAAATGCTTTGAATCGCCGAATTTATTACAAACTTTTCATGTATCATTTCCCTGGAGGTGGAACATTTTTAAATAAGCAAGGAACCTTCCATGTGCAGTGAGAATTTGATTGACATCTGCATCTCCTCAAATTCCCATTTTTTTTATTTTTTATTTTTATTTTATTTATTTTTTTTTTTGCTAATTTTTAAACATTTTAGATAGCTTTTGTTTCTTTCAGAGAGATACCACAAATTTTTCCAGTCTCTAATAAGCTTGTCATATATTATAGTACATGTCTTCTCTTTCGAATCTTGAATAAAAACCTTTTCGGTCCCAACCCCCAGGAAGGCTTCTTTCGCTAGAGCATTCGCTCTCTCATTTCCATAATGATCAGTGTGAGCTTTGATTCAATGTAAATTCAAAATATGCTTCTTTCGTAGTTCTAAATGTATATGCTTAATTTCATTAACAATATTATTCTTTTGAAAGGGGCGGGAGAGCGTCATAAGAGCAGATAAGGCATCTGAGTATAAATTAATATAATACCCTACGGATAATTTCTTGAACCAGGATAAAGAAATTTTAATTGCCAACAATTCTGCTTGATGAACTGGATTTCTTAGTTTTAAAGTAAAAGTTTTGCAATCAATTTCAATACCGTTGAAAAATACGACAAAGGTACAGCCGATGCTCTCCGAAAACCCTGGTCCATCTGTATAAATTTCAATTTCGCCAGCTGAAATATACTCTTTATCATAGGATATACCGTAATATTTACTAGGATGGCTTGAACTCAGATTATGTTCTAAAAAAGCCTCGCTGGTAATTCCTTTATATTCATACATTATTTTCTGTTTTATATTATATTTCAGACAAAATTCGTCATAAGTAAATTTAAATTGTAGTGAGAGAGGTGGTACACCAGCCAGTAAGCACGCAACTTCTGTCGGGACTGTTCTAAATGATCTTATAATTGCAAGTGTCTAGGCCCTCTGCAATGAGTCTAATTTCTGCCTTGTCTTGACCAGCTTCCCTGCTCGATCACCCCATCCACTAATACCATAAAGAATTTTCGGTATAACAACATTTTTGTAAATATCCCTCAGGGTAGAGCTTTTTCCAGAAAACGTGATCGGAGTAAAAGTATTTTTATAATAATTTACAATGTTTTCTATCTTTCGTTGTATTGATTTAAAATGCTCTATAAAATGCAACTTATCATCGATCACTACACCCAGGTATTTAAATGTTTCACAAATTTTATTCTTTTTTTTATCATATTTCATTCCGGGGGTTCTAACATTTCTCCTTCTCCGAGGGAAAAACATACCATTTGTTTTTTCAATATTAAATTCTAAATTTTGCTCAGTACTTCATTTTTAACAACATTTTCAAGCAGGTTAAAAGTAGCCTCTATTTTACGAGGGAGTCTCCTGTAATAGTTGCCATAATATCATGGGCATAACAGGTAATATTCGTATCAGGTGCATTTTCTTGCAGTAATTTATTTGCTATGAGGGTCCAGAACAGGGGAGCACTACATGAGCCCTGGGGACAGCCTTTTTCAATTTTATAATGAAGATTAATTGTATTAGAGTTGCCCAGAAAAATTAGTTCTCTACTCTCCAGATAGCTTTTAATTATATCAAATAGTTCTTTTGAGATGCCGATTTCTTTTAATATAGACAGTAGGGAGAACCAGCTAATAGAGTCAAAAGCCCCTCGGACATCGAAGGAAACCAGGACTACATGCTTACTTTGTCGCTTTTCTCTGACTTGTTGGATCACATTGTATAATGCTAAACAGGGTTATATATGTAATGTGATTACGAACCAGTCATCCTTGAAACAGCTTCCACGAATTAATCCATCTTCTCATGCAGAAAGCCTTCACGTGCTTTACTAAAATAAACCTAATTCAATACAGAGTGCTCAAAACACACTGATTAAGAAGTGCATAGTGCCAGCGAGACTCAATCGAACATCACCAAATCCTGCAGATCGCACTTGGCTTGAATGTTGAATGTATAAAACAGATAATATCGTCCCTGTGTAGTTAGTTATACAGTACAATTTTGTAAAGTATCAGTCAAGCTAATGGACATAGGACGCGAATTTAGGCATTACGCTATTTCAAAGATTTCTCTTGCATCTAAATCATTTTGAATGTTGCATGGGGCGCCAAAATACACAACTAACATCGTTCATTTTCTCCCCATTTTACCTTTTCTCCTGCAGTTTTTACATAAGGATTTAACCCCTTACCTGTGGAATATATTTGAGAAAACGCGCCAAAAATGGAATTTTTTTCTCTTTAATTTTGTCCGTTATTATCATCAAAATTTTAGAAATAGATTTTAAAAAAATTAAACGAAATAACAACTATATGTTTTATAGAATGAACTTTAAACGAAATTTTGGTTTTGCCTACATTCGAATTTATATATTTTTACAACATTCAATTTTTTTAATCCTGCAGTCCCACAGCTAGCAATGCTTGTTAAGCATTCGTTAGAAATGGTAACTCATCAATGATTTATTACTGCAAAACATTGCTCAGTCAAAACCAAAGGGAATGACGGAACGACCGTTATTACATTCGCAAAAGGGAAAGATACACAACTACAAACATTTATGAATGTTTTGAGTTTTGAATCCTAACCTAACTGTATGATAGCCAATTTCGTTAACTATCTCGCTGTCCAAAACAACGTCTGAAAATTACTAAAATTAACTCTATCAGCGGTTCATAATTTCTGCCATTTTGTATTATCTTTCATGTGTGAAAGTACGTTTATATTTAATAAAGTCTGCTGCAGATAACATAGCGAAATTACTACATAGCTGCTAATCATCGAGTGTGAGTGGTGTTATTTTTAAGGGAAGTGTGGTGTAGAAAATGGATTTTCTTATCTGGTGGGATACTACGAGTATCAAATATAAATCATGTCTGCATAAAATTAGCTAGCCTGAAAATTAGTGGAGTACATTGCGTTGACAATTTAATAATAGGAATACAAAAATGGTTGACTTACCCAATAACCCCCATGCATGAGACTTGCAGAATCATTTAATCACACATTTATTTCATAAAAAAAAACTTCTCTTGAATATTAATATATAACACATAATACGAAAATCATCATGAAGATCTTAGAAACACAAAACTGATATGTGAAACATGCGTGTCACGAGTACCGTCTATTTTGCAAATAGAGAGTCCGACTTATTAATCTAAGAAAATCGGTGGTACAGTGCTCAATACTGATTTCTAATTTCACTATTTTATGTGAAGTGGTTGTCTTCTAAACGAAAGGATCCTTCTTTTATCATACATTTCTATTCTTTGAGCACATGGGCGGCTTCTCCCGAGGTTGACGAAACAGGTCTACACATATTGGGAACGGCACAGTTCAGACATTCCATGTAGGTTTACCTTTGGTCTCGCATCACGACAGATCAATTTCCATCCAAAATACTTATCACTAAATCGCGCACTTTTTAGAAAATGGAACATATCTTCTCATCCAA